AATTTACATTTATTCGTATACATATATATGTGTCTGTGTCTGTGTCTGTGTCTGTGTGTGTCTGTGTTTGTATGTGTTTGTATATATATATATATATATATATTGTATGTATGTTACATTGTGTGTGAATATCAGTGTTAGAAGTATATTTGTTGCAAGTCTTATTCACTTTGGGCCGTGTGTCGCCTCCTCTTCCTGTATCCAGTATATAGTGTTCCCGATTTACCTGGGCGACTGAATTTTGGAAAGAGTATACAAACGCTGGCCGAAGAAAGGTGTAAACCTCTAGAGACTTACCTTAAAGTTCTATTATTGGAAAATGATCAAAGTGTCATCTCGAACCCACATATATCTGCGTTCTTAGACCTCCGAGATCGATTGAAGGTATGCGGCCATGTGATTCGTTGCTATTGTGTTCGAACATACACTTAGTGGAATGTGTGTATATCCTTTACTTCAATTCTGTCATTTTTTTCCGGCTTCCTATATAGCGCTGTCCAGAATTGTCTCGTCGGAATATACTTCTAATTCACCTAACATTGCGAGATCTGCTGAGGCCTTGCGACACAGTTTACTTATTTGTCCAGAGCGTATATATATAACTAGGTTCTGGATCAGTTTTAACTTCAATAGATTGGATATGGAACTTTCTTTGTGTTTTGAATTCGGCTTTTTTTCCTCGAGTTACTGACGTGGCCAGTGCATTTCTTCTTCGCAGACCAATATAAATCGCTCAGATACATGGAGTGGCGAGTGCGAAGACCTTCTGAACCTAGCAAATGAAATAGCAGCTAATATAACATGTATGTATGCTGCTATTATTTTGAATATCATTACGTACCTAGAGCAAATTTGATCATACTATGAGCCAAATCAATATTCATGGGAAAAAAGTTTTTCTTGCATGTGTTTTTTTATATTGCGAATCGGGATTGGTTTCATCTAGTAAGGTATTTACACTCGGGACGTGCATTAAATTCTTCTATGAGAATACTGTGTATAGGCCTATCCGACATCGTTTATACGCTTACAAGTATTTACGCAAGTACTCATGTATGCTCTCAACTTGCCAGCTGCTCGTAAGCGTGATTTTTCTCATGTTTCGTTCGGCTACTTTACAAATTTTTTGTTGGACCACAGATGTTGTGTCATTTGCTAAATTTACGATGGTGCACTACACGAGCAAAGACTACATCAATATTTTTAATGACGAGTTTAGATTAAGTGTTCAATTGTATTTGATTTCTCAGCAACATGCACATTTGTTCTTTACCACAGCACGGAACACATATCGGACACAACATAAGAAGGACGACCCTGAACTGGTGCGTAATCTCCGAGGGAAATTATCAAATATATCAACCAAGTCCAGGTCGCTGGCACGTGTACTTGAAGGGGCCGCATCAGAGTTGTAAGAATTTATATTCACTTCCAAATTACCCTTATCGTATACCACTGCACAAATTTAATTTACGGTTTTGGTTAATCCGCCTGGATTCGTCTTGCATAAGAATCTGTCTAGGTGATTCATCGTGTGTAACACAGGGTGTAGGTTGTGCTTTTCGTGGTACTGTAATTGCGCGTCGAAGTTTCCTTGACCCGTCAGTTGTGATAGATGATTTTTGTTTTAAACTTTGAATGACAATCTTACTTTTTTCGTACGAGTGTGTAGATGCACAAACCCAGGTGCTATCTTTAACGCGGCCATAAGTTAGAGGTTCTTATCAGTACCGTAGAGGTATATAACGAAAACTTTCTTTCCCGAGGAGTTATAATTTATATATGATTTTGTTCTATCTTCTGGGAGAGCAGGACAGAAGCCGAACTCATTAGGAGGCAAAATAGTTTAGACTTGCTGCGCAGTCGTATTGTGGAGCTTGAGCGATTAGAACGTGCGGAAGGCGATGAAGTTGAGGATAACAGAGCGCAACGGTATTTTCATACAGATATAAATGTTTGTTTTTTGTTCTCGTTGAAAAGTCCAACTCTTGCGGTGGTATCGACCTATCAGTTTGAATCTGAGATTAGGACCGATAATCGCGCTATATCGGAGTACGTGTGTCCATAGGAATTGCGTATGGTGGAGGGACTTGGGCCACGAGGCGATGTAGGAGATTCTAGCACGAGGCAATATGACTGTCCCTTCTTATACGCTTCCGCATGTTTGTTGTATGTGCTAATAATTTGACTTGATAGAAGAAAATTCCATAAATTTGTTGATCATGTAATACATGAAATGGACGATTGTTTTTCCAAGTTCTTCGGTACATCATTGTCTGTCCAGGTAGAGCTCATCTTTTTATCAAAGCGTGTATACTACACGAATACGCAAGTACATTGCGGTGGTGGAGATTCTTCGCCAAGCAGACAGTATCATGAGTTTGTGCGTCCTGAAATCGCGAGGATGTTAAACGTAGAAAGTGTAGCGACAATACACCCCTGGCCGAGAGTATATGCAAACGACAAATTGAGCGCCGAAATTTTTTTGGATTCACTTGCACATACCGTAGTATGAGCGCTGGACACGCATAAAGGGGGGGGGGCTGGGGGCTAAGCAACACGTACACGCTGTTTCACAAGATATTATCATCGCCTGGGTAGCGGCTGCAATGTATATGGCGCGTCCCTGGTGGTTATTGACCCTGACACTTCGCATATATTCCACAGATCAGAAGTACCCGACCGCAATAGAAACACCCCCCGTGGTCGAGTTTGGGGAAAGGAGACTGAAGCGACTAAAGGAAAGACTACACATGAAGTCGTCGACGTAAGTATACTATCATTCATGCTACTTAGATGCGTACTCTTGTGGGCTGTGCGTTGAATTATGTTCGATTGCCGCTCAAGGGTTATACTTCCTCTCGACGTGAACTTTGATAGAATTTGCTAGTCATGGGCAAACATGTACGATAAAGTGGCCATTTTAGTTCAACTCTTCAACTTCAGATCGTATTTTTTACTCAACCTGCTTCCTTTTTCTGCCCTTTTTTTTAATAAAAAATTTATAGCTTCAACGTGATGTTATGGCGGCACAGGATGCTGGATTAGATCGACTAGCTGAAGTCGTTCAGCGTCAGAAGCACGTGGCATCTGCTATCGGCAACGAATTAGGTACTCTATAATAGTGAAACATTCGATGTATAACGTGTATGTTATTCTCCCGGTTTGTGTCTGTATGTATAATGTTTAAACTTGACTCGTCTGATGTATAAAATAGTAGCGGCCTGTTATGACAACGCCGTATAGCAACTGGGCTGAGTGTCTCGAAGCAATTCAATTTTCTGCCAATCTCTAAACATATAAATCAGTAATACCAGGATTCGAGTGGTGATACCCTCTCTACGATGCTGGCATGACTTGTCTTTACTAGGTGGGTCAAGGGCTAATTGGTTATTTGTTTATCGCAGATGAGCAAAACCGACTTTTGGAGGATCTGGATGGAAGAGTCGAGCGGACACATGGACAATTGGCAAACACCACCAAGCGCGTCATGAAGCTACTCTGATAATGCCCTCGGTGTGAGGGTTATAGGCATTGTCTGCTTTTCGCTGCTGTTTGTCAATTAACAGTAACGAATAAATATTATCTAAATAGACTTTCAGTATGAAGAGTCTGAAGTAGTCACAGCAACGAAGATATTCTCATTTCAGTCCTCTAACTGCTCCTCTCAATATAAGCTATATAAAAATTGGCATCTCGATGTTAGAGCGATATCATACTGAGTCGATTAATTAACCACATGCTAGACTAGCATCTATTAATTTCTCTCCCATGTGGGGAAATCTGTGGTTGAAATCTTGAGGCCAAATATATGCTAGACTCTGCCAATGTCAGCGTTTAAAGTATCCTGAAATAGAAAAAACACATCCACGTACCCTCCTATATATATATATA